TGGAGATTCAGCCCCACGTGGTGCACCGACATCCAGATCACCCAGGCCTCAGTATTTATTGATCTTCATCAAGTAAATACATGGCCATACAAGGGCTTTTCCATTGGACATTGTTGTGAATACAAGCTTAAGGTCTGTTACATTCAGGCTGGTCAGCATTGGAAAAGTGAGTGACATGGCCAAACAGGGGCTGATGCAATTGGTACATAATACTACATATACATTACATTACTTAAAACATTACATTATACGTTGCACGTTACATTATACATTATACGTTACATTATACACATTATACATTATACGTTACATTATACACATTTTACATACATAAAACGTTATTCATTATACTTTACATCATACACATTATACATACATTCATAACGTTACATTATTCATACATAATTACATTATTCACTCATAATGCATTACTTAGCTTAGTCATTAAACTGTTCGCTGGAAGTTACTATTAACAGCACTTGGTACACTACAGGCTGTACAAACCATGCTGTGTGCCAGTGCAGTAGATAGTTTGTAAGGCAGGAACAATAATACGTGGTGCAATACTTTTGGCTGATATGTGCATAGTGCAAGCGAGGATAGGAAGGTACCCCTCTGAGTGCGTGAACAGTTAACATGATGAAAATTTTAACTTGCATGGCAGAGGTCTTGCCCTAAGGCTTCTAGCTTGTCCATTATCTTACGTAGCTTCGTTAAGCATGAACGTCGCTTTATTATTAGGCGCTTAAATGGCAACACATTGTCTCTCGGGAATGGAATGTGCCATTCTGCCGTGAGTGGGCATTCTGTCAGATAGTGGTCGGGATGACCTGGTTGCCCGCACACGCAGAGATTTGATGCTGAGAAGCCCCTTTCAAAGAAGTAGCTCGGGAACGGTCCGTGTCCCGTGATGAATCTTGTTAGAAACGATGCTGACAGCACACGTTCCAATGAGACTTTTGGCAGGAATTCATAAGCTCTTCTGCCCTGGGTGATATCATTCCAATGCTGCTGCCATTGGTTTACTATTGTCTCTTTCATTTGTCTCTTGGCATTGGATTTTGGGAATTTTAGATGCACTTCCTCTGCATCTATCTTCCGCGTAGCCTCTTTGGCGAGCTCGTCTGCCTGTTCATTTCCAGTGATCCCGGCATGGGCTTTCACCCAGGATATCCTAGTATGAAGATCCTTTGCGTTTTGTATTTTGAGTTGTAATGCCCTAATCGTAGGCGAATGATGGAATGGGCATTTTATCGCTTGAATATAAAGACAGGCTGTCAGAGTAGATCGTACCAATCCGCTCTCCTGATGTAATGAGCCAGTTTACTGCCTTGCTGAGAGCTAGTGCCTCTGCTTGGAATACTGTGTTTCCTGGTTGGAGATGACATTTCCAGGTTGATACAGGCACGCCGTCTTTGTAGACCACCAATGCGCACCCCACTTCTTCATCTATTTTTGACCCGTCCGTGTAGATGAACACGCCCGGGCCTTCTGTACTTGGTGGAAGTTCAGGTGAGTGAAATATGTGGATCCCTGCACCGTATTTGCTTGGGTGGATCAATAGGCGAAACGTCCTTTCTTCATAATTACACGGGAGGAAAGTGCATGGACCTAGAGAAACCTCTTTTCTCAGCTGCCATAATGAAGTCAACGCTGCCTCTTGTTGGGCCCTTAGAGGTAGAGGGAGGATACCCGCAAATACCGTTGCTGCTGCTGTGGATGTCGTTCTATATGTCCTGGTAATGCCTAGGACAAAGGGTCTTTGAGCACTATCGAGAAGTCTGGCCTTCCTTGATGTCATGGGAAGTGCCCATAAAGCTGCCGCATAAACCAGGATCTTCTCTACCACCGTCAGGTAAATATGTTTAAGAATGTGTGGCCTTAGTCCCCAATATGGACCTTGCATCCTTTGCAGACTATTAGCTATTTTTCTTGTTTTCTCTCGCTGCGCACTTAGATGCGGCTGCCAGGTGTTCTTCTCATCCAAGATTACTCCAAGCAATTTTAGCTGCTTGACTCTTTGGATGGTCTTACCTGCAAGCTTGATCTGTGGGTTACGTAAGATTGTCTGTCTGGATTTATGGTAGATCAGATAACAGGGACTTTGTCTCTGAAATCGTTAGCTTCTTCTCTTGGCAGAGTCTGGTAAAGGTTTCTATAATTTCATTGCAGTTTGTTTCTAAGAAGTCTCTGCTTCTGCCTCCAACCACGAATGTTGCGTCGTCAGCAAAAGCAGTGACTTTCGTGTGAGCTGGCCAGTCATACGACAGAATTGAATTAAACGTCAAGTTCCATAAGTCTGGGCCGGCACATGATCCCTGTGGGCAGCCCCTTGTCTGGTCTTTCTCTATAAGACCTTCATTTGTAGCTATTAGGAACTTGCGGTCCATCAAATAGGTCTTAAATGTTTGCAAGACATTGTTTGGGACATTTGCTGTGTGAAGGGCCTCTATGACTGACGGCCACCACAGGGAATCGAATGCGCTCTTGAGGTCCAGGCTAAGGATTATTGCATGTTGGCCGCTTCTATGCAGCTGCTGGACTACTGACTGGAGGTTCTTAATTGCAGTAACTGTTGATATGTTTTCTCTAAACCCGAACTGGTCGTCTGTAATGATATTGTTTTCATTCAGGTGGTACTTTAGTCTCTGAGTGAGAAGTTTCTCGTAGAGCTTCCCAATGACCGGCAGGAGACATATCGGTCTGTGAGAAGCGGGGTCATTCGGATCTTTACCCGCTTTTTCAAGCAGGACTACTTGTCCAGTTTTGAAGTATCGGAAAGTAGCTTAGCCTTAAGAGCATGTTGAAAAAGTTAACTAAAAAGCTTGGCCTTGCCTTGTGCATGGCCCTGAGGATTGTGTAGTCAATCGAATCAGGGCCTGGTGCTTTCTTGGTCGGGAGACTTTTGATTGTGACATTCACCTCTTTTGTTGTGAACGGGACGTCATCTGGAGAAGCTGATGTGAGACTGTAGGCATGTTGAAAAGGATGGGTAGACAGGTCTTCACTGGGGAATACCGCATCCAGGATTCTTCGTAGGGTTGTCTCTGTAATGCAAGCATTTGGTGATGTGCCTGGATAAATGCGATGCTGGGGAGGGCGAAAAACCTTGTCTGCCGCCATCTTGTACAGTGCTTGATAAATCTCTGTTGTCAGAGCAAAAGTCTTTCCAGCTTTTTAGCTTCGCTTCTCTTAATTGCTCTTTTGTACTGGGCCTGTGCTTTTCTGTAGACTGTGCTCAGTTCTTGCCTCTTGTCCTCATCTGGCTCTCTTTTCATGAGTCTTCTAAGCCCTCTGGTTCTGCTTCTTTGGGAGCGTAAATCTTTGGTCCACCAGTTCGCTGTTTTTAGCGTTCTGGTGGTCTTTATACGTAGTGTCTCATCACACAGAGCCTGAATGCGTTCTATCAGATGTGATGTCAGAGTATCTGCATCTTCAATGGCGGTACAATCATTGAGTCTGGCTTCTACATCTTGTAGTAACGTTGACAGTCTTGGTACCAGGGATCTGATCTTACGCTTTGAGGTCTTATATCTCTTGATTGAGTAACTATCGTGAGGATGGTCTAGAGTGAAGGTGACGTAATTGTGATCTGAGCACGATGGTGTGTCATCCACCTTCCAGTTCTGTATCTTAGTTGCTAGACCTGCCGATGTGAGTGTCAAATCCGGCCAGCCGCGCCCTGATGCTGTTTCGAACGTTGGGCCACTTTCCACGATGTTATGCAAGACTAATCCATTGCTTGCAATAAAATCTTTTACTTCTGTACCCCTGAGGTCTGTTGCTGAATAGCCCCAGTCTTCTGCATGGGAGTTGAAATCCCGTGCTAGGATATGTTCTGCTGTCCGATGGGTGTCCAGCAGCCTTTGAAGTTGGTCTAAAGGTGGAGATACTTCAGCGGTAGGTGGAATATAGACATTGGTGAGAACCAATTTCATGTTTGATTCTTCCACTACTATGGAGATGATATTCGGAGTAGCCTGCAGGATGATGGGTCTCCATTTGCTGTGGCAGCAGACTATCGCTGCTTTAACCGTATGAGCTTCAGTGTCCTGGAAAATTTGCCAGGTAAGGGGAAATTCTGTCACTTTGCCTTTTCTTAGGAGGGGCTCCTGTATGAGTGAAAGGTCTGCATCTCTCTCGATTGCAAACTGAACTAGCTGGGCTGTTGCCGCCCTGGCTCTTTGGAGGTTGATCTGTATAATATTTACACCTGTGAAGGTAGCATGAGTGGAATTCACATGGCGATGCTGACTTTGCGACAATGAAACGCTTGTTGACATGCTCGAGGGTCTGTAGTGACTCGTTCTTCTACTGGACTGTGAGCTGTGGGGTGGACTTGGAGTATTAAAACTGATCTCCGTAGTGAGTCCTGGCACGGAGTTTCTTTAATTCTGCTTGGTATGTATGGCAATTGGACGCGTAGGCAAAATGTGCTGTATCTGGCGCATCTTTCCTGTTCTGGAACGCGACCATACAGTTGATGCAGGTCGGGGAGGTTGCTCTACAATCCCTGGTCTCATGCGCTTCGCTGCAATAAGCGCAGTGTGGCCTGTGCGGGAAGTTCTTTTCCATATGATCGAAGCCATAACAGCGGAAGCATCGCTTCAAGCCCGTGAATTCCTGGATGTTATGCTGCCTCCACCCTGCTAGGAATGACTTTAATTTGATGAGGCTACTAAATGCCGAGGGGTTACATTCTAACACCCACACTTGGTGGCTCTGTTCCTTCTGTCTTGTCTTTTGAACAGCATGCGAAAATCGGTCCCTTGAAGTGTGCATGACTTTGCTATTATCGCGCTTGCCTCTTGTTCCGTACCATCAGATGTAACAACGGGCTCCAGAGCACCGGCGGCAGAAGGCGACACAGGAGAGGAAGCAGCCTGAGCAGGATGTACAGAGGAAGGCATCAGGGAAGGCGGAGGTAAGCAAGAATGACCAGCAGCAGCACGAGAACGAGTGTGGTGACACACTGGAGATTCAGATGCAGAGACGGCAGTGACATCCGGAGACGGCACTACAGGATCGGGAGCGGCAGCCACCGAAGACAGTCTGGCAGAAGGCGGAGAGGATCCAGGGCTGGAGCGGAAGACATCACCGGAAATGCGAGAGGTAGAAGAGGTCCTTGCACGAAGAACTGTAAGCATCTGGCAGAGTGGAGCACCTCTGAGCAAAGGAGGGCCAGAGGGAATAGGAGAAGCAGCCACATGGCGCCGGCGAGCTGATGGCAGTGAAGACGCTGGGGTGGGCGTGGCGACTGAAGAGAGAAGACATGGAGGTGAAGGCAGGAACCCTTGACCCTCAGCGAGCAAATCCAGAGATTGACATTCGTCAGCATGGGGCCCAGAATGAGCCGGCGGCATCCGTGGAAGACCAGGCGTAGTCGGCGAGGGAATCCTAGGAGGGCGACGCATCACGGGCAGGCGAGGCGTCGAGGACGCGTCAGCAGCAGGCTGGAGAGACATCTGTAAGAACAGCAAAGAAAACCAAAACGGAAGGCAGCAAGATGCACGAAAAAACTCGGTGGCAAGATCAAAGTGAGGCAGTGGAAGGAGCTTCAATTGGAGCTTTGGTGGACCTCAAAAAAAGGAGGAAGATAAAAACGAGGAAAAGAACAAGGAGAGAAAGAGCAAACGGAGAGGAGGGACAACGAGGGAAAGAGGAAAAGGAAAGGAAAGAAAGTAGAAAGAGAGAAAAGTAGAAGCCACGCCCACCCGGAAGAGTGAGGCAGCGGAAAGGAAATTTCAGAGCTTATCAAAACAGGAAAGACACCGTAAACGGAGTATTTCTGAAATGAAAAGCGAGAAGAGATGAGATAGAAGAGAAACCATTTCTCACTAGAAACGACTGTAAAACAGCCGAAGCAGTAAGAAAGGAGAAGAGAAAGTTAGGCCCCGCCCAGCACCGAAATCTACCGCAAGCAGTATATTCAGTGGTGGAGACGGGAAAGAACCTGCTCGCTCACAGGCAACCTGCACGCTCACAGGTGAAGGGGCCCCATTGAACGCAAGTAAAGAACGTGTTCGAACCATCAAGCGTCAATGGGATAGAGGAGAGATAGAAAGAAAGCAAAACTTACATAGGATCCACCTTGACTCCGCTTTCAGCTCCGTCCACCAGACGAGTAAACTATTCTATCAGCATGGTCTGGAAATCTGAAAAAAGAACAAAATAAGACGTCAGATTAAGCTGATAAGAACAGAATTTTTTATTTACAAATATTCAGTGCCACTTTACAGAGATATTGTCAAAGCCGTGGCGTAACTCGACAATAACGCACGCAGTGCGATTTATAGACAAGACATTGAACAATGATACCTGTGCAAAAGAGTTGAAAGAAAGAAAACAAAAATTATTGAGATTTACACTATATACAAAGTCCACGGTACTCTTCTTCCTTGTGTCGTGGATGTTTGATCGATGGTACAGGTTCATGACACATTCGAAGCAGTCCAGTAAAGTTTTGACTTGTACATTATGAACTAAGTCCACAAAATGTTTCTTACATTAGAAAGAAGTGTGTGGATTTGTCAACAAAACGCAGGAAGGAGTGAATTAGACTTGTTGCAGTGATGGGTTCTGAGGAATGCCTGTAAGGTGCTCAACGTAAATATCTCGAGAAGCACGCACAGTATCACTAACAATCAACTTTTTCATCAAGCTTGCGTATTTCTTTGAGCAGATCCTTCGTATGAAGCGTTCGTTTCGGGGAACCCAAGTGTCAAGGGCTCCAACAACAACCACCTCAATCTTGACATCAAACTGCTGCCGGAGGCGTTGGAGGAGGGGGGCGTATTTTTCTTCCTTCAGGCGACGGGCATGGTCAAATGCTTCGAGACGGTTGTCAAAGGCCACTGTGACGTCGACGATGATGGCCGAGGTGCCTTTGGAAAGTAAAAGATCGGGCCGTAAGTTGAGGTCAGAGATAGCTTGATTTTCAGCAACAACATGAACTCCACTGAATATGACCACTGCCCTGCCTCTATATTAGAGACTCTACAGTGTCCTGTCATTCCAGCAGTAACCATCTACCATCGTCACTCCGCCCAGCCGAGGGTTGGGCCCGACAGGTCAGACGGCTCAGAACACCATTTATTGAAATTCCAAAGTTTATACATGGGCATACAGGGCCGCTTTCCATTTATTCATTGCCGTTCATTGGAAATTTACATTTTCTAGTTTTTACATGGGCATACAAGGCCATAAGATGTGTTTTTACATTGCGTCTAGAGATTTACATGGGCATACAGGGCCAGATGTTATGATACATGATTCCGTTAAAAAATTAATTCCTGGTTAATTAGAGCATAAGGTTATTGATACTTGAAAAACATTGAATTATAAATATAATCACATAATTGACAAATCTAGGTTAAATAATACGTGGTAACACTGAAATATAAATATAATCATATAGACAAATCTAAGGTAATTGCAATAATAATTAGAGCATAAGGTTATATAGTATACTTGTCAAAGAACAAATCTAGGGTAAATAATACTTTAAAAAAATAAAAGAAGAACATTGAAATATTAATATAATCACATAATTGGGAAATCTAGGGTAAATAATACGTGGAAACTGAAATATAAATATAATCATAAAGACAAATCTAAGACTCTAAGTAATTGATACTTAGATACAGATACATGAAACATTTAATATACTTTGTAAGATATTTATATATATATTGGAAGATGTTTATATACATTGAAATATTTAATATACATTGGAAGATATTTATATATACATTTTGTTGAGGTGCACCACTTAAGTTTGTTACTAACTTGATTATTAATACACAGCTCAACATAGATGCTAAGTTCACAGTTCACAGTGCTAGTTCACAGTTCTTACTGCCTTGTTCTTACTAAATTGCTCACTGTATGAGCTATTCCCTAATTCACTAGTTATCACCCTACTTTTCCCAAACCTTATACTGGGTGGTCCTTTAACTGTCTTTTTATTACATATACATTTCTGCACAGTATGACATTATTTTGATAAGATTTTTGAGCACCGGGCCTCTGTGGAGTGTGTTATTTGCCCAGTATTCTTTGTGTACAGCTGGTGGGCGTCTTAGGTGCCAGTTGCTGGTGTGTTGGCAATCAAACACGAAGTGCTCCACATCTCCCCTGCTGCCGCAAGCACATTGATCTTGTGAGGCCAGGCCAAATCTCTTAAGATAAGTGGGAAAAGGGCCGTGACCTGTGAGAAAGTGAGTTAGGGCACTGTGTCGGCTGTGTAGTGTGGTATTCACTTTGGGTAAATAAGTGTAAGTGAATCTACCCACTTGAGCTGTAGACCATCTTCTCTGCCATATGTCCATGAGTACTGCAAATGTTTCTCTTTTGAGGTGAGAAATGGGGCGACTGTGCGATAACTCAGGAGCTTGACTATTATTAGCAATTTCCTTTGCTAAGGCATCAGATAGCTCATTTCCTTTGATTCCCACATGTGCTGGGACCCAGTTTAACTGAGGTCTGTATGTTGTCGGGAAACTAAGTAATTTTAGGCGGATGCCATGTACCAGCGGGCTGGTGCTATTATTGCCTATTATGGCCTCGAGGCTTGAAGCCGAGTCACTATAAATGTGTACTCTATCCGGAGTGTAGCTCCTGGCCACTTCTATTGCTGTGTCTATTGCCAAGAGTTCAGCTTGATAGACAGAGTTGTGGTGATCTTTTAGGAGGCATAAGGCACTACCTGTTCCAAGTTCTGTCTTCGACCCATCTGTGAAGATTGTGGTCATGTCGTGTCCTGGAGCTGTATAGTGAAGTCGCACTGTGTCTTCCAGATTTAATTTAGATGGGTGGATCAGGTAAAGGCTCTTCTGTTCATAGTCTTTAAATTTGAAGCTTCTGTTCCATAGGGTAACATCAGCTTGTAATCGAGAGATTTTAGTGATTGCTGCCTCTCTCTCCGCTTGCAAATCCAGGGGAGGAATGCCAGAGAGAACCTGCAGTGCCATAGTTGATGTAGTTCTATAGGCTTTACATATGAGTAGAAGTTGTAGCCTCTGTATGCTGTTCAGCAGGTTCCTCATTTGTTTCGTCATCTTGTCTCCCCAGACTCCTACTCCATAAAGAACAATCCTTTCAGATATTGTCCGGTACCATCTTGAGAGGATTTCCGGTCTTGTTCCCCAGTTGATTCCTGTAGTTCTGAGCATTGAATTTGTTAACTGTGAAATTTTTGTCTTGATATTGTTTAGATGCGGGAGCCAGGAGAGTCTTTTATTAATTAGAAAGCCGAGATAATTTAGGTTATCAACTGATTGTAGGGTGTGTCCGTTGAGTCGTACCGTTGGTTGTCTTCTTAGTGGTCCTTTTCTTCCTATTAACATGACTTTCGTTTTAGAGGTTGATATTTGTGGCTTGTGTTCTTTTGCCCAGTTGTAGAAAGTGGTTAGTGCTTCCTCAGTACGCTTTTGGACGTCACTCCTGCCTGCTACTAGTATCAGAAAGTCATCTGCGAAGGCCTGTATCCTTATCCCATCCTGTTGGTTATAAAGGGAGAGGGCTGTGTCCGCTACGATATTCCAAAGGGTTGGCCCCAGGCACGAGCCCTGCGGGCATCCCTTTTCCAGATTATGCCTTGGGATGCCGTCGTCTAGTGTAACTTGTATATGCCTGTTGTCAAGGTAACTTCGCAAAATTTGTATGATCTCTATTGGAGCTTGCATTTTCAATAGACAGTTGAAGATATCCGGCCACCATAGTGCATCAAATGCTCCTTTAATATCAATAGAGACTACCATTGTGTGAAGATCATTTGTTCTGTTTTCCTGTATTATTTTTAGCATATTTTTAACTGCATGTTCTGTGGAGCTACCTTTCCGAAAGCCATACTGTCTATTATCCGGTAATTTCTTTTGAAAAAGGAAGTGGTTGAGTCGGGTTTAAATAAGCCTTTCTAACACTTTACTCAGGGCCGGGAGCAGACTGACTGGTCTGTAGGAGTGCGGTTCTTCCGAAGGTTTGTTCTTTTTTCAGGGAGAGTGCTACCTCTGCTGTCTTCATTCCCAAAGGGAAGTGTCTGAGTCTCCAACACGCATTGAAAAAAGCAAGTAGTGCATCTGGAAAAGATTTGTAAAGAATTTTTATCGGGACATTGTCTATTCCATCTGGTCCTGGAGCCTTTGTGTTATTCAAACAGTCCATCTCGAAGAGGCAGCTTTTTTGATTCTAGCCAGAATGTCATTGTGCCTGGATTGATAAGCGCGGCTATTGCGCATGCAATGGCACAGAACATGGGAAAGAGTCTCCAGAGAAAACGAACAGCGGCGGCATCCTCTCTGTCCATTAGGTAGACGGCGAGCAGCGTTCAAGGGAACTAGGTTCAGGCGGGCGCGATGTACAAAACGCCAGTCCGCGAAGCGTGTGAATTTCCCTTCACGGAAGAAGTGGCAGCTGGCTCTATCAGCGGCGGCGCACTCTATGGCTTTTCCCTGGTTCGGGTAGG